CTGACTGACTGACTGACTGACTGACTGACTGACTGAATGACTGAATGACTGACTGACTGACTGACTGAATACATGCATGCATGCATGCATGCATGCGTTTCCTCATAGACAGTAGTTCAGACATTTCTTGGACCTTGAACAAAATTAGCTGACGAAAAATGTATTCTCGTTTCTATAGAAAACACTGCGACTCGATGTCTCATGCATTACAATTTCGCAAGTGAGCGGATGGCTATGACTAATCAGTAAAATGTTTCCGGTTCTTCATTGTCGATACCAATTTCTTGAGGAGCTTGCTGCCAACACAAAACCTCACGGTGGGTAACGCGATAACGGTGAGAAATTTGCGTACAGTTACGCCAGAGATTCGATACTGCTAAAACTCATGATCTGAGGTACTTTATGTGACACGTCGTTCATGAACGAGGCTGTTGCTACCGTGAATCTTTGATCTGTGTTATGGCGAAACAATCATGCAGATTTATGCCAGCACATGAGATGATTAAGTACGGCAGCTTCCCAATTAATGGACCAGCGAGGTGCAGCTAAGTTGCTTTATATCATTAATGAGTTTTTCGAAAAAAAGAAAGGATGAGATTCTGCACGCTGAAATATATGAAATCGTTACAGTGAAATAAACAAATTATTTCCTGTTCCATCTAAGAGCGTCACTATCAGAAACAGCGGCAACTGTTAAAGTGCCATGTAGGTCTTACAGAAAAACAGTATATTGACCAGTATATCCGTCCCCCTTCTCTCAATTTTTGAGAGCGTAATCGCACCTTCTCCTTATTTTTAGACGTTCATGGGGCCCTTCAAGTAGGCGACGACTTCAAGGTATTTAGGAAAATGCAGTTTTGAACGCTATGCCGCCTCTTGACGTTGAATAAAATGAATACGAGCTCTAACATAAACTGAGCTGAGCTTAATAAGGGGAATTTGCAAATGAAAAACGCTGCAGCCCACTAGTATCTGTATGCACCACAGGTACCCTATTATTCTTGGTGCCCAAATACCATTGAGCCGTGGCTGCTGAAAAGGTCCCTTAGGCAACTAAAAGCAAAGGGCGATGCGATAAGGCTGGGTAAATTCTGTAAAGGGAGAAGATAGTGCTCTGACCTGCGGCATTGGAAACTATCTTTTCTGACAATTGTC